TCAATATGTTCGTCGTTGAGTTGTACAGGCAGCAGACCCATCTGGTTGCTTCATGTGGAGAGGAATTCATTGCAAACTTCTTATTTCCTCTTGGCGTCTGAGGTGAGAAGTGCATGCTGAACCAAATGATCACCCGGACAATCCATTGCAGACACACTGAAGGAGGCTATGTGAGGGTTCCTGGGGTGAGACAAGAAGAAATTACCTCCTTCTGCCTCCCCCAAAAGGAGTCATGGAAACTGTGTTCTTTTATCTTTCAGCCCGAGAAAGTGTTTTATTGAACATTGAATCCAGCTGGGAATTGAAAGTAGCTCTCCATCAATTGCCAGTTAGTTCCAAAGATTGGGAAACACCACCTGGAGGAGAGGCTGAGCCTTTGTCATTGGTCCTGCTGGAGAAGGAAGGGGGTGTAGGGAAGGAAGAGAGTTGACATCACTCGTTTGTGTATAGAAAATGGTTTCTTCACAGCCACAGGCATAGGAGAACCTATCCACGTGACTCACTCTGTCTCTGTGGAAGACTCAGAGGGAACTAACTGAGTCCAAAGGTTGAAGCACTGACTACTAACAGGCATCTTTCTAGAAGCAAGCCTGAAGTTACCCAAATGGCTTCCTCATGATGCATGTATTGTAACTCATAGAAACTTCAGGAATTATGGAAAGTGACTGGACCTAGCAGATATTCTCCCTCTAAGCATCTTTAATGCGTATCACTGGAGGACAGACCTTACTGTGTGTTAAGTCGGTTAGTTTAAAAAAAAAAAAAAGGAGGAAAGGTTTGATATTATTCTCTTTTTTTTTCCCCAAAGAGCAACTGGGAGACTCAGAAGGGTTAAATGACTTGTCCAGAGTCCCATAAAGCATAAGAGCTGGAGCTGGGTTCAAACCTGGGCAGCATGGCTCCAGAATCTGTTTTCAGTTACTACCTGTACCTGTATTCCCTGGCTCTGTTGTCCTTGAGCATTTGCCTTCAGACTCTGGGAAAGTAACTCATTCTTCCTGTAGTGTTATTTCTCCCCAATACACATAGAATGAAGTATCAGCAGGCTCATAGATTCTTTTTAAGAGGAATGCCAGGGGGGTGTAGTGCCAGTAGGTAGCAACTCCACTACCAAAATTCAAAGGATCTCACCACACTAAGATCATGGTTAGTGGGTGTCCAGCCCTTTGGGTCTCCCCCGACCATCAGACAACATCAAGAATGCTGGCACTGGTGTGGTCATTCTGAAACACAATACAAAAGTCAAGGACAAAGTCCTAATTCTGATGCGATCTAATTTTAAATTCTATCTACAGGGCTTGACCTATCCTAGATGTTGGGGGCATGGAGCATAGATTCTTTATAACCAATGATCCACCTTTAAAGTGGCTGAATTCACCGAAGGAAACCAGCTCAACTTGCAGTCAGCAGAGATATATATAAATCAATACAAGTACCTATAAATACAATAGCATCAAATAACTGATGATGGGTCATAAACAAATGTTTAAGAGTAATTTAAAAGAGAGAGAGAGAGAGTAGGTTGGGATACTGCTGGCTTTTGGGAGAAGGCGTGGGATTAATTAGGAAGTTTATTGGAGCAAGTTGTGAAGCTAGAAAGGAGAGGAAGACGCGGTACAGCAGTCATTTAAATGAAGGCGAGCTTGGCTTCTCTACAGCATTGCTTGATGAATGAGCACCAGAGACACTGAAGACATCACCAGTGATGTGAGCAAAACTCTCCCCTCCCTGGTCACAGTGCTTCCATCTGTAAATATGGAAAACTGGGTATTGAAATCAACATAGCAAGCATTTAGAGTTCTTCCGAAGAAAAGTCTCTCTTTCTTTGCTTTGGCTTAAAGAAAACCAATTATTTGGAAGGAGACCTGTGGCAGATGATACCTTACTTGCCCTAAGCACCAGTAACTCTCCGGTGTCTTTTGGGAAGAAAGCAATCAAAAGCTTCCTCATAGAAAAAATGGGAGGCAGTCAGAGTGTTGCAAGTAACATGCTTCTCTTTGGCATCATATAAACAGCTTGGGCTCAGCCCACGCCAAGGCAGTGGAAGCTCAAACCCAGATCTCAGATCACTGCTATCCCTTGCCCTTCTGCTTGGCGTCAGTCAATCACAAGTGGAATCAGATGTTGCCTTGCCAACGTGACTGATAGGTTTCCGGCGGAGCTGGCTTTATGTCTCCGTACTTGTTTGTGTGATGTTCTGTGTTTTATAACTTGAGTCTCCAGGAATTTTTCCCACGACTGTGCATCATTCCTTATCACCCATAACCAAATAAGGCAGCTTTAAATAGTACTGTCATTTTCCTCAATTTCACTCCTGGTGATATAATCAGGTATAGATTTCTGACATTGAGCATCTAATGGGGTTTCAGATTCAGAAAGCAACAATAAAAGATTCTTTCCTTTTGGATATCTCTCAATTGAGAGACACAGTGAAATAATCATGTGTGACAGGGCTCATGGAAATCATGGGGTCTGGAGGACCCAGGGAGTGAACAGCTACTGTTTGCTGCTGCAGCAGGTGGTAAAACATGATCAGCTCCTTTATTTTTTCCAGACTCTATGTGGGCAGCCTCTGTGTTTTCCCGTGTCTGCCACTGGCTCGCAGGATAACAATGAAGACAATGTGATGAATGCGGGAAGGCCCAGCAGGGGACTCAGCTTCTGCTGCTCTTGAGTCCTTCTTCCTGCTAGGGAATCTGTAGCGTGATGGACCAGACATGCTCACATGGGCTCTTCCCCTCACCCCTCTACTGTCCCTCCAGGGACTGGGCCATGTCCCTCAACTCATCTCATGGTCCCAATAAATCTCCTGAGTGTTCTGTGCAGAGCAAGCTTCAGTGCCCTGTGAGGCGGGCAACTTGCATTTGGTATCAAGTTCTCATTCATCATATCAAGTTCCTGGCCCATATTGGTTCCATGTTGGGAAAGAAAACCAATGTCTTTTCTTTCTTTCTTTTTTTGTTTAACATTTTATTTATTTTTGTGTAGAAGAACTGTGTGTGGGCCAGAGGACAGGAGGATTCACCAGAGACAGAGTGGAGAGCAGAAGAGGCAGGTCTACTGAATTACACTGCTGAGGGGAGTAAAGGGTGAAACAGGAGAGGTCTGCTGCGCCTTGTCGGTCGGCTCCCTGGCTGGGACAGAGCTCAGACTGTCATGGTGGCCAGTGCACCGGTAGCGCTGAGACTTTAACCCCTTGGCCACCAGAGAGGCCCCAAAGAAACCAATTTCTGAAGGACCGCCTAGAGGTCACTGTCACACTTCTAAAGGACTGCAGGGTCCAAAAGTGACAACCCACTGGCAGAGAGTGTCTGTTTCTGCACTTTGGCACTCAGGGCTGTGTCCTCAGGCAAGAATGTACAGCTCTAATTAGGCCCCTTGGACTTCAGGAATGTTCCTATAAGGAGAAGCTATTTTACTTCAACAGGATCTTGCAGAACTGCCCCCTACTCCCTCATCACCATCCCCCCTCCAACCACCACCCTATATGATGCAGTGGAGCAGCTGGTGTTACTTGAAGTTGCTCAGTGTGTTCTGCATGGTCTAGCTGCCAGTGGTTAATGAAACCTCAAAAAACTGGTCAGAAATAGCTCTGTATTGGCCTAGGTATTTCCCCTTCATGTTTCTGGACACCCCCTATAAAAAAAAAAATGTCCCTCAGTGTTCACAGTAAGTCATACTGTTAATGGAAATGACCTTGAGTTGGAGAGTTCTTTTATGGAAGCCCTGAGCTTACAATTGATTTTCAGTCCCATGAATGGACTTCCTAGATTCCTAGAATCATAAAATCTTATCATTTTCAATGGAGAATGTTCCTTAGGAAGCATCTAGTCCAGTGGTTCAGTAGTAAATGAGAGAAACAAGCCAGGGCAACACCCAAGCAGCAGCAGGGAGCAGAGACACGAGCCCTTTCTAGAATGGGCAGCTCCTACTCAACTCCAGCCCACTGGCAATATAACCCACTGATGCCAGATCACCCCTTTTATTTTTAAAAAGCCAGAAATCGGATTTTTATGTGTCATCTCCCAATCATTTTTTATGTGGACAACTCACCCAAGATGGGTGAACACTTCAGGGCAGACAAAGCAATGTCGTCTGTCAGCTGCGTATGGCCTGAGGCCACCCGCCATCTTGGGCCACCGCCATCTTGGACCACTCCAGTCAAAGCCAGAGAGGAGTGTGGCCTTACCCAAAACCACACAGCTAATGACTGCAGCAAATTATTGACCTCTATCTGTCATATTCCATTCTGCTTTTCTGCAGAAAATGATGGGGTGTTCGGTGCCCAGGTTTGTTTCTGGCTCCAACCTTAGGCTCCTATGACTTTGGCCAAGCACGTCCCTGGTAGGGGACACATAGACACACCAGGTTTTCCCACAGCGTCATGGGACAGACTCAGGGTTTTGTGTCAGAAAATGCCTGTTTGAGTCCCACTCTTGCACTTAGGAGCTACATAACCTTGGACACCCCTTGACTGGCCTGGGTTTGATTTTCCTTAGCAGCAAAATGAATAATCAACTTGTCTCATGACACTGTGCTGAGGTTTGCACGAGAAGGGCTCACTGTGTGTGAGATCACCCTGCAGAGGGAAAGCGAAGGCTGCCTGTTGTGTGGCACTCTGGAGAAGACCTGAGTGCCAAAGAGGGGTGCTGCTGTGGCATCGGAGATGCAGAGGTGCTCCTGAGCCTACCCGTGCCACCCCAGAGGACCTAGGGCAGCATTACAAGAGCACTGAGGGCTATTTGTTTACCTAGCACGACGCCTCCCTCAGCCCAGGAAGTGATGAAGCCTGGGCTGTCCTTTTACACCTGTTGAGGTTGTGGCTGGGTGGGCTTCCCCTACATCTTCAAGCCCCAGAGTCTTTTAAACCAGTCACTCAGAACCTAAGGCGATGCAATCTCGAGCCAGACCCAGACTCACCAAACCCTTTGCCTGCCCTGCCCAAGGGCCAACCTTGACTGAACATGTACAGTGAATCGTGCTTTTATCTCTATTTCCAGGGACGCAGACCTGGCTATTTCTCCTTCCTGGACCCATTTTCTCCGGGCGTCTGGCTCTTCATGCTTCTAGCTTATCTGGCGGTCAGCTGCGTCCTCTTCCTAGTGGCTCGGTACACTCCTCACCCCTTCCCTGTCCTCACACCGCCACCTCGTGTCCACCTCAGGGAACTGCAAGGGAGGGGGTGGGGAGGGAAGCGGGCTGGTTGAGACCTTGGTGCCAAAATAGAGATGGGAAAAGACAGGGGACCTGAAAAAGCTCTGCCCAGCTGTCTACCTGACGCTTCCCACCATCGGCATGCCATATTCGCTGGTGCACAACGTGGGCAGGTGAGCTGGGCCGAACTTGCATCTGTCCCCTGCCTCTTCCCACTCCAGCTGCCTGGTCTGGGGCCGCCTGCTTGTGGAGGAGCTGGGGGTGGGGGTGGCAGGACAGGAAGATCGCTCTGATTAAGCACAATGCGTCTGGCTTCCCTGGCCTCTGTCCTTGCCAGGATCTGCCACAAAGTGCTGAGTGACAAGAATCGGAGCCCGGGAATCTGGAATGGGGGGACCAGAGGCCTTGACTGTGCAAGGGAGAGAGAAAGCCTCCCTTGCAGAGGACCTGGCCCTTCCCCAGCCAGCATCACCTACAAAAGCACAGCACCTTGTCAGATGGGAACCACATGGCAAAACAGAATGGAGAGGGATGTTTGCAAGTAGCATTGAGAAAAATGGTTCAAATCAGAAAAAAATGGGGTGAAAAAACCTTCCTTCTTACTCAAAAATAAAAAGAGAGCGAGAGAGAGACTGTGCTGGGCCACAGAAGTCCCAGAGCAGCATCCCATAGTCTGGCCTTCTGAGAATGCCCTGAGAGGGCTGTTTGTGGGGCTAGTGTGGAACCAGCTTGGGTTTCTTGAAAGCCAACTTACTTCCCAGAAGCACGATCTTTAGCGACTCATCGGTCATTACTCAGAATCCCAGCTTCCTGCTCAGCCTTTATTTGCCCTTCTAGAAGACCAGAAAGTGCAAGAGCAGGGAATGGAAGATGGGCAGGCCAGCTCTCTGGAAGCATGCCTGCAGGGGGCAGTGACAGAGCCAGGCGATTCCTCAGTGTGCACCCCACCTCTCCAAGTGGAGTCTTCTCCCAAGAACTCACCTTTTTGATGGCTCCAGGAGAGTGTGTGCTCATCGAGTTAGAAGACAGAACCTCAAGGAACTGCAGGGCACCCAAATAACTGCATCGCTGTTCTTACCCGATGCTGAAGGGGCCTTCTATCCCCCAGTATCTGCCCTTTGCAGTGATGGTCAAAGCCAAGTTCAGGGAAGTCATCCACTGTATCTAGCCAGAGAAAGCGTGATTTGCAACCTGGAGGTCTTCAAAGCCTGCTGTGTGCCCCTCGTGGGTCCTCTACCCCATTGGGCCTGTGGACATCGCCACTATCAGTGTCAGTTGTCAGTGATAACTGGCGAGCCGGGCGGGAGATGGCACACTGTCAACACGTCCTTTCTGCACTTCACCAGCCTGATGGCTGCTGCTTTTGGGAAACTGTCTGAGTTCTAGCCCCACTGCTCTATAATTCTCTTTTGCCCTCTGTGGCTAAGTCCCTGTATGTAGCAGTACACAGCTCGCAGGGGACCCCAAGGGCCCTGGAAATGTTTAGACCATGGCTACCCGCCCCCACACACACACACACAAGCCTGCCCTGCCTGCCTGTTACAGCCTCAAACCCTGAAAAGTTGAACAGCCTCTTCCCTACCTATCATGCACGCATCTGACCCCAAGATCCAACATCAACCTAAGAAATGCATTGAAGTTTTCGCCGTACTGTTGTATAATTAGGACAGCTGGCCCTGGGTTCCACAGAGCATGAAGGCTCCTGGAGGCTCCAGTGCCATGGGCTTGGGCATAGGGTGAGAAGAGGTAGGGAAGCCATAGCTCTGGAGGCTTAACTCCCTGTCCCCCCAGCTCAGTCCCACTTTCAAATACTGTTAACCCTTGAATAATGAAAGGAATGGGGAAGTAGGAGCTGACCGACACAGTCAAAAACCTGCATATAACTTTTGATTTCCCCAAAACTTTACCAAAATACCAAGTCATCCCTTGGTATCTGCAGGGGATTAGTTTCAGGAGCCCCCAGACTCCCAAATCCACAGGTGCTCAAGTCCCTTCTTATTGGCCCTTTGTATGTGATTCAAGAAACAGCACCTGCACATCCAAACCTGTTTGCTCAAGGCTGCCAGCTGTATTATTTGGGTAACATCTGGGTATGATTTTAGAGGGAAAATGCTTGAAAATCCCTGATCTAAGGCAACCTCTCCCAAGCCAACTACTATCAGCATCACCCAGGAAGGAGCATTTTGAAAATTTGAATTTCCAGGTGTGATGGTCTCAATCTCTAGGGATGGAGCCCAGGAGTCTGTATTTTTAAAGCTCCCTCCCAAGGACCAATGGGCACTCCCAGTGCCAGCCAGCTCTTAAGGCCACGGAGAGCAGTCACACATCTCGGGACAGGAGGCCAATGAGGGCACATGGGCAGTGGACCCAGGAACAAGTGCCCACGAGGGGAATATGGATGGCACTGTAGGGATAGCCAGGGCACAGGAGGCCGAGTGGACGCCCGCAGCCGGCGATGAGGATGACCCTGCCCTGTGAACATGCAGCACCTGCCCTGTCAGCTCACGCTCATACCGGCCCACTCGGCAGAGCTGATGCAGAACAGAGGAGGGAACCTGTGTGCAGCTGGCAGGAAGAAAGCACCTTCTAGACAGCAGGAGTGCTGCCCCTCGCCTGGAGGCAGGCCCCCCTTTCAATCTGGGGTGCCTGTTGACTCACAGGGCCCCTTGAAAACCACTGATGCCCAGGCTTCCCTGGACAAATCAGAGCAGAACTCTGGAAGCAGGAACCTGGTATTGGCATTCTGTTAAGCTTCTAGGGGAGTTTGAAACAGGGTGGAGAACAACACATGGCCTTATCGAGGCTAGGGCTTCTTAAAGTGGGGTCCCTCTCCCAGTGGCATCAGTGTCACCTAGGAATTCACACCCAGACTGAGTCGGGAGGTGGAGGGGTGAGGCCCAACGGTTTGTGCCTTAACCAGCCTTCTCAGTGATGCTGATGGAGGCTCACATTTGAGGGCCACTTTTCCAGGCCGAGGGTTTTCTGTCTTAAGGTGACAGTAAGGAGGAGCTAGGGTCCCTCCGTGGTGCCCTCAAAGGATGGGAAGTGGCAGAAGAAGCTCCTTGCCAGCTGTCTACCCCTTTATAGCCAGCTGTTAGTCAAGGGGTTCCACTTTACTAGGTGTACTGAAGTTCCACATCAGAATTTATTTTGAAAAAAAAAAACAAATGTTGCTTTGAATAAAGACAGAGTTTGAAGACCAACAGGGAAGTCCAACCTCCTCATTTTTTAGTTGGGAAAATCCAAATCCAGCAAAGGGAGGTGGCTCACCTGAGGCCACAAGGCCAGTGAGGCTCAGGGTGGGGCTGGGAAGGACAGCTCCCGACTCCGCAGAAGCCTTTCTCCACCCACCCTCCGCGGCCTGGTACATTTGCTTTTCTCCCACAGGTTGACCCCCTACGAGTGGTACAGCCCCCACCCATGTGCCCAGGGCCGGTGCAACCTCCTGGTGAACCAGTACTCCCTTGGCAACAGCCTCTGGTTTCCCGTCGGGGGCTTCATGCAGCAGGGTTCCACCATCGCCCCTCGCGCCTTATCCACACGCTGTGTCAGTGGTGTCTGGTAAGTTCCCCAGCAGAGGAGGAGAGGACACAGGGGGGTGGGTGGCCCTAATAAGCCAGCTCTGGCAGAGTCACCAGCACCTGGCTGCTGTTGGAGAGCCGGAAACAGGCTAGTGGGAGCTCAGCTTCCCCACCACGGGCAAGTGGCAAGTCCCTAACAAGAATGTCGGCTTTCTTGGCATCCGGCTCCTTTCACATAGGGAGAAGACACGTGTCCCTGACCGCTCCAGAGAGAAAACCAGAGAGCACGCAGGCTCAGAAGGTTTGGGGTCAGCAGTGGCCATCTTGTAAGTCTAGGTGCAGAGGAGAATCGAGGCAGAAAGGGAGAGGCTGAGAAAATGACGTTGAGTCCCCTCAGCAAAGCAGGCAGGACTTCTTGACCTGACACTGACCTGAGGCGGGCTGTCTGGGCTTGAGAAGGCATATGCAGATTTATGCAAATCTGAGCCTGGGGCTGGAAGCGTGGGAGCCAAGCCTGTGCCACCTCCAGCCCCATCTGCAGTCCTGTCTTCTTGAGCTGTGTCTCTGCACCTGGCTCAGACTGCGCAGCCTGCCGACCTCAGCAAATGTGGGAAAGGCAACCTCTTACTCCTCAGGGTTGGATGGGACTTCCCTGGCAAGTTGACGGCAAATCCAGCCTCTTACCACATCGTCCATCAGCCAGCTGGTCGCTGCCTGAAATTTCCATCTCCTCTTGGTTCATCAGGGCCAAGGTGGGGAGAAATAGTTGAATGATTCAATGTGTGGAAAAACGCTTTGAAAACTTGAAAGTGCTACATAAATGTATGGACAAATAATTGCTGTTAGACCACTATGACGGAAAATGAAAAATATATATTCCCTGCCTTTCATCCTTCATCCAATGAAATGAGACAGATGGATGATGGCTGGCTGGCTGGCTGGCGGGATATCTCCTAGAGAGGCTGATTCACAGAGTACAAGTTCTTCATCATCACTTAAAAGCCCACTGTTGGGTGTGGTGCTGCAGGTCAAAGCACTCACAGCCTGTTCTCTGGCTTTCATCACACCCTGTGTGAGCCAGAGGAAAAGCAATAGTGATGGTTCCACCCTTGGTCACAGCAGCCGGGGTCAGGGTTGGCCTGGACAGTTACTGGAGGAACTGGGGTGCAGCTGACAGCAAGGCGAAACCTAGTTGGGGTGTTTGTTTTCCCCGCTGAGTGACCAGTCAGCTGTCTGGGCAAGGTGTACACCCCTTATCAGATGGCTCCCTCAGATCATCGACTGTGGCGGCATAGAGAACGGGGTCTCACCTTCCCCAGAAGCATCGGCAGTTCTACTAGGGACAGCCACAGAGGACCCTCAAAATCTGAGTAGAAGCCTGGGAGACCAGCAGAAGTCAGCCACAGGTTTTGGTCTCTTCTACCTGGGGCTTTTCCTTCAGCTCCCATGTGCCACACAGAGGGCCCATTGCCTGCTTCAGCCACCTGTGCGCGCCCTGTGCTCAGGAATTCCCTGCTCCAGAGTAAGGAGGGCCCACCTGTCTTGCAGGCTGCTCAGCCCTGGCCCACTGGCTGCAGGGCGCTCCTTTTCTCTGCTCCAAAGCATGCATGGGTGAGGCCCAGCCCTCGCCTGCCCTGACCTGGCTGTCAGTGCGCTCTGCCTCTCCAAGTTCTTGGTTATTAAGCTCAGACCTCAGTTTGGTCAGTTCCCTGGGAGACTGGGAAGTGTCAGCAGAAGAGGCTGTCCTGGCTCACCTTGGCTTCCTCACCCTGAGCAAGTGACCAAATGCCACGTCACTACCCAGAACACCAACTTTCTTGGCATCCATCTCCTTTCATTGGGGAAAAGACACCCCGACCCCTCCTGAGAGAGGAGAGAGAGAGTGGGTGTGATTTGCTTTCTCAGCGAGGCCATGAGCTTGCACCAGGATACCTGCTCCCTATCACCTGCTCCTTGTGACCATTGTCATAAAGAGCCACCCAGAGTGGAAGACACCAGAATGTAGCCATGGGGCTGAGGGAGTGTCCCCAGCTAGTTCCGAGGCCGTGTCCACATCCAGGGCTCCTTAACTCTGAAGCTCAGCAGCTTCTGAACGCTGGCCCCTGCCTGAGGATCACACATGCACACGCCTGTTTCCTCTGGGAGTGCCAAGAGGAAACAACTTCCAACTGAAAGTAAGAGCCAAGGCGGGAGCCAGGAAAACAGTTTGAGGACAGAGACACACCTGGCACTTACAGGTGACAAATAGGGAAGGCAATCAAATGACTGTCACCCCATCTTCAGGCTGAGGATCTATCACTCCATTTCTCTCCATCTCATTCAGTCCTTTACTGATGACGAGTCACCAGTGACATGTTATCTCATTTATTCTCACAACTCTCTGAAGATAGAGCAGGCATGATTGTCCCAATTTATTAGGAAGCAAATGAGCTCAGCGGAAGTACGTAGCCTTTTTCACAGTCTCTGTGGGGGAGGAGGAAGGGGCAGTCGGGGAAGTAGGACCATCTTCCTGCTCCGGAAAGCCCACCTGGAAGCTTCCAGCTGCCGATGGTAAGCTTTCATTGGCAATGTCTTCATAATGAGTAAAGCCTCATTAATTCGGACTGCACTGGTTGAGGATATGTGATTATCCAGCCTCAATTATGCTTAGATATATCTTTGAACTCCTATAAACAAGTGGATTGGATGGCAGGTCCTTTCTGCTGACCAGATGGTAGAAGGCTTGATTAACCTAAGTAAATGGAAGAAAGAAAAAAAAAAAACCAGAAAACTGGATTTAATGGCTTTAGTTTATATGCTGCCTGAGTTACAAAATTACTCTCATTTTAAATGCGTTCACTTTACCCAGTAAACAACCTTCTATTTTGAACTCACATGGCCATTATAAGAGTATTTCCTAATTCCCAGTTCTCAGCAGTACAAAGGTGCTTGTCATCCATTAGTCTTTTAAAGAGTCACTGCTATTACAATGTGTAGAGCTGGTTTTAAGCTATGAATTTATCAGCATGTGACTGGGCAGATTACTTGGCTTCTCTGAGCCTCAGTTTCCCCATCTATAAAATTAGGACAAGAGTGTTACCTCCTTTCATTGTAGGGAGATAATGGAAAGTGCACCTGAGACAGCAGACGTGGTGGGTGGCGGGTGCTCAGCTCCAGCGCTGCTCACCTGAAGGTGGGCTGCATTGTGAGGGGGCAGGGGGACCCTCCCAGCCCTCGTGTCAGACAGAGCCCCCAGAACTGGCACCCTGCTTCATACACTTGTTCATTTTTCAGTCTCCAAGCTGTCTCATGTGCATGGACACACCTCTTTTGAATAACAACCAAGGAGTCACCTCCTTTAGGAAATATAGTAAAATCGTCTTCCAAGCAACCCTCACAAACTCTGTCCATTTCTGTCGACATCATCTGCCCTGCCTCCTTTCTCTTCCCCCACCAAGTCCCTTCAGAAGAGGGACGCCTGGCCTCTCCCATGTCACAGCAAGATTGGGGATGGGGGCTGAGACTCCTGGGAGTGCCAGAGCAATGATGACTTCCTGGTCTTTTCCTACGTAGGTGGGCATTCACGCTGATCATCATCTCATCCTACACGGCCAACCTGGCAGCCTTCCTGACCGTGCAGCGCATGGATGTGCCCATTGAGTCAGTGGATGACCTGGCTGACCAGACCGCCATTGAGTATGGCACAATTCACGGAGGCTCCAGCATGACCTTCTTCCAAGTAAATTCATTTGGTTGCTCACCAACATCGGGGATTGGGCAGAATACAGATGAGATGTTTATCTGCTGGAGATACAAACATCTCTCCTCATCCCATTATCTTTTTTCGAACATCTAGTTTGGAGGTTCACATGGGGCTCGTTGTTCTCCTGTTCCATAAAATATCCCTGGAATGAAGTCCCAAAAGCACTTTTAAAATCAACCTGTCCCAAAATATTGTGCATGAACAACCAGTGGTAGTTGTGATGCTTTTAGGTACAAATCAGTTCAGTGACTAAACTATTTCATATTTATTTTATTTTTATTTACTTTCTAGGTTGTGAGTTTAATATAAAATTATATAACTCAAACAGTCAGGTGCAAGATTTGGGGCAAAGTATGGGGAAAGGTGTGTGCTCCTTTCATGCTCTAGGGGCTTTTCCCGATTTTCATTCATATTTATTTTAATGGGTATTAGAAAAAGATCTATACAGTGAATTTAATCTTTATTTTTATTTCTATTACTGCATAGGATGAAGTTAATGTTTGCATTTAAATTTTTTAAAGTGGGTTTAATTTTATAGAGTCCTCAGACACAGCAAGATTACTTATAAACCACGACTGAAGTGTGATGAACACTAGATTAAGATGAACTGGTTTCATTGATCGTACTGGATAAGTCTCAGATCGGCATCCTGTTGACATTGAGGCCCTGCCTCAGAGCTCTGTGAGCTGACACACCAAGAGATTGATGACCAGGGCTGACACACTGGGCCAGACAGAGGAGTTAACGGGTATCTGATTTACCTACAACCCACGAAGTTCATTTCAGCATGAGACAAGCCCAAGGCTTTCATTTTTCTGTCTTCTATATCAGCCTCAGTGCCTGTTGGCATGGGGACCCATAAAAGTATCCTGCAAACATGGAATTTGGGTAGCCCCCAGAAATCACTGAATCTTCTTGTTATTTGTAAAATTGAAGCCAGCGTGGGATATATGATTGGAAAGTTGCTGAGATAAAATAGCCAGCGCTATTCCTTCACTTCTCTCTAGAAGTCCTGAATAAACCCAAGTTCACTGCTCCTGACCTGGAGGACATGAAGGCTACAACTGGAATGTCCACTCTTATTTCTACCAGAATATGGAGCTTGGCAATGGGAGACCTCTCTAGGTAGAGGAGGCAAGACCAAGGATCAAATCAGCAGGCAGAGTTTACAGTACCATCAGCCCCCTGTTGATTCTTGGTCTTCCTTTAAAAGAAATCAAGGCACGACTTGTCCCTCCTGTCCAAGACTCACTGGCAGCCCAGAGACAGAAGGAGCAAAGCGTATTGAATGTAAAGAAGGGATTGCGTAGGGCCAGGATTTTAGGACCTACTTTGGATCCCTCTGCTTTTACACCAACATTTCCTTTCTCTTTTCCCAATAATGCGCCTTTGTGTTCTTTTTCCAGAATTCCCGCTATCAGACCTACCAACGCATGTGGAATTACATGTATTCCAAGCAGCCAAGTGTGTTTGTGAAGAGCACGGAGGAGGGAATCGCCAGGGTGTTGAATTCCAACTACGCCTTCCTTCTGGAGTCCACCATGAATGAGTACTATCGGCAGCGAAACTGCAACCTCACTCAGATTGGGGGCCTGCTGGACACCAAGGGCTATGGGATTGGCATGCCAGTCGGTATGCAGGAGAGGAACAGCCTCCTTGGGTAGCTTCATCCAGGCAGGGTCAGAGTAGCCACACCTCTGAATACAGCATTGAATTCAACACCCTGTTTCTAGAACCAGTTTAACAGTGACTTTAGGTGGGCATTCTTGAGGTTTAAAAAAAGCAAGCCCAAACTCACATTCTTTTGCTAATTAGTGATCATATCTCAATCCTTAAGCATTCAAGGGCTGATTGATTAGTTACTAATTGATTAATTTGTTTAAAGGGCACATTGGTGTCCTTGATGGGCTCTTTACACCTTTGTTCTCCCCTCTCCTGCTTCCTTCCCTTTGGCCATCTCTCTATTGGTTGACATCTCCATGAGAGATGAGCAGGAAGAGATGGTAAAGTTCAAATGAATTGATTTTGCTATTAGGATCCTGATGAGAATCTTACTACAATGTCATGATGAGGCACATAACTTTCAGATTATTTTTGGTGCTTCCTGATCCCTCTGCCCCAGGTAATTTTCGAGAATGGGCTGAAGCTCTGGTGACCTGCTTACCGAGTGCATCCCATCTGGCTTGTTGGAGGAGGGAAGGGATATCTGACTCCCAGAAGGGTATCCCACCTGTGCTTTGACTTATGCATACAAGACTGGGTACAGGTGGTAAGAGGCTTCACCAGAGACAACATGGGGAGCAGAATAAGCAGATGTACTGAAATACACTGCTGAGGGGAGCAGCGGGTGGGTTAGGAGAGGCCTGCTGTGCCATGTGGGTCACCTCCCTGACCAGGAGGACAAGGGATCAAACTCATGCTGCAGTGGCTCCATAGTGCTGTGCTTTAACTGTTGTGCCACCAGGGAGGGCCTCCGCTGTGCTTTCTAAAGCACATTCATGCTTTTGGCCTTCCGCTGCTGTAATACTTCCACCCTCTGTGATTGCAGGAGAGCCCTGCCTCAGGTGATCCAGATAGAGCACCCCCCTACACATAGACCCCATTGAGAGCTGCTGTTGTAAAGGGCTGGCCCAGCAGAGGGCTGTCCTGTCTGTAGCATTAGGGGAAAGGGCAGGAATTGAGGCCTTCATGTGGGGACGTTGGTATACAGTATGTGCATCTCTGTAGTTATCTTACATGCCCCTTCTCTTGGTGTTCACCTAACTCATAACTCTGTCAACTGCAGGCTTCACTTATGTCTGTAGAGTGTGGGGAGCATGGGTTTGAACTCAAATGTAGGAATTCACCCTATTTACTGGCTGTGGGACCTTGGATGGATTATTTAACCTCTGTGAGTCTTAGTTATGTCATTTGTAAAATCAGGTTTCTAATACCTACTTCCTAAGCTTATCATGAGGGTTAAACTTGATAACCTGGTCAGGTGTCTTTCTATAGCACCTCACACTTAGCCTGCCTTGGCGAACATGAGTGCCTTTCCATCATTTCTATAGTTGCCTGTATTATTTGATAGAACCGACAACTTCTTAAAGACTGATCAGAAACCAAGCCAGTGGACACAGGAAATTATATGGCCATCCTTGAACTCGTTTCTGTCAACAGGAAGCCAGCCTCAGTCAGCTCCTTCCTAACCCTCGCACCTTCCCCTCGCAGCAGATGGTATTGCCGTCCATTAACAGTACAGTTGTGGGCCCCTCCGAGAAGCTGACATTTTGTTTCAAGATGGTGGGGCAAACCAGGAACTTAGGGTACATCTTGATGATGTTCTAGCAATTCAACAGATGTAACCAGAATGTTCAAATACTTCAGACTGCCTCTAGAAATTTTCATCAGTAGTCAAGGAAAAGGGGAAAGAGATCTTTTGTTCTGCACCTGACATGATGCTGTTGTCACATGTATTATCTCAAGCCTCACAACTGTGAGGTGGAGGTAGTCACTCCCCTCCTGCAGGGTACAGCTGAGACTATAAGTTACTTGTCCAAGGTCGCAGACTAAGTAGAAAAGCTGGACTTGAGCCTAGAAGCGTGTCTCCACATCTAGTACTTCACTTGTCAGGCAGAACATCCTGCTCAGTGGGCCCCACTCGCTAATCATGGCAGGCTGGGTGGAAGAGGAGCTGTGGTTGCTCAGGTTCTCAGGCTGGGAAGGGTATTGAGCAGTCCGTTGATGGGATGGGGTAGAGCTCAAGTCCCGTTGAGGTCATGTCCAGGAAAGGCAAGGGGAACCAAGGACATAGCCATAGAACAAGGCGTGATGGGTCCAAGAAAAGTAAAGAATGAGGTAGAAAGTTAGTCGGTGTATGGGAACTAAGCAGGCAAACATAATAATCTTTCCATGACCTCTGATGCACAGCTGTGGTTGGGTGGCAAATGTCTTGAAAACTGCTTGAAATGCCCTGTTTACTGGACAGTTGCCTCTAAACCTGGAATGTTCATGAGTCTCACTGCTTAATACCAGCCGTTAATTCAAGTAGCTGTTCACTACAGGTGTGTGGTAAGACTTACTACAGAAGACGCACTGTTGATGTTCGCCCAGCTCAGTTACAGGACTGATCTGCTCCAAACGTGGGGTCTGCAAAATCGAGTGCTGCTGGGTCTGTAATTGGGAGGGGCCCCAGCTGTGGGTCCTGGGCAGTCAGAGTCTAGAGACATCGGGGAGCTGATGTCCTTCTTTCCCCCATCCAAGTGCATGGCCCAGCAGCAGAGCCTTGGTGCTCGTTAGCAATGCAGACTCCCAGGCCTCACTAGTCACAGTCTGCCGTCCAACAAGGCCGGCAGGTGATTCCTATGCACATGCGTGTTTGAGAACACTAACCGATATGTTCCAGGCTTTCCCCTGAATCCTTTGATCTGTCCCATCAGGCCTTCACAGAGCTTGGGCAAGAAGACTAGGCAGCTGAGTTGGTTTCCAACCTCTTGGCAGCTTTTGCTTATTGAACTCCAGCCTCAGCTTGGGCTGAGACATTGAGCTTTCCACAGTTTCATTTAAGCCTGTGTTTGTGATTAAAACTAAATTCCAGAACCAAAGCTCCTTGACCATACTCCATTAGAAAAACCTTTAAAAGGGTTGCACTGAACAGAAGCCCTTCTGTTGGAGGAGGTTGGGAGGAGCAGTGTAATGGAGTGATGGGCAGGTGGGACCGTGAATTTCACAACAGCCAGCAGGCAGCTGGTAGGGCTGGCAATGCCTGGGGACTGGAGTCTCCCCAGTGATGAAGCTGAAGAGGCTTCTGTCCCATCCGAGGTGGCTCTTCTTTCAGCAGCGACTGCTCTGGAGAATCAGTGGTGCGGAGTATGGAATGAGAGTTATCATGCTTGAGAAGTTGATCTAAGGGTGGTAGAACATAGACAACTGACTGAGAGGCTTATGTCAGAGCCCCCTTCTTGGCAGATGGGAAGCGTGGGTGCAGATGGGAAGCTTGGCAACCAGCTTCCTGGGTGTGGATGGGCAGACCACTAAATCTGGATAGAAAGTGATGGCACCTGAGTGGGGAGGCGGGTGGCACAACTGCCTGGAAAGCTGTCACGGGAGCCATCATGGTGTCTAGGCCGTGAATCCTGGGCACCCTCCTCTCCATAGATGGTGCCCAGGCGAGCCGCGTGGAGTGCAGTGGCCCTGGGCCTGCTCCATCGAGCGCTCCCTCTGAGTTAAGCGTGGCGAGGAGGCTTCCTGGGCAAGGGGGCAAAGTGACACGTAGGAGGGCACTCACATCCTGTGTTCTGGGCTCCCCTGTGACCCTGCAGGCTCGGTTTTCCGGGACGAGTTTGATCTGGCCATTCTCCAGCTGCAGGAGAACAATCGCCTGGAAATTCTGAAGCGCAAATGGTGGGAAGGGGGGAAGTGCCCCAAGGAGGAAGATCATAGAGCCAAAGGTAAGCACGGGCAGGGCCTTCCCGTCCTGCCCCAGAGGATACAGGCAGCTGGTGTCTAGTGTCCACGTTCCAGCTAGAGACTTCTGAGACATGCTGAGAACCAGCCTTGGAAGGGCCCTCCGGCTGGCCCGGACTAGAGGGTCAGTCCTGCCCCAGGGTCTCTGAGTATCTCAGGCTCCCAGCGCCTGCCTGCCCAGAAGTCCTGATGGTGCTACCTCCACCCTGTCTCCGAGTCCAGCCACCTTTCGCCCCAACACCAGGCCTTCCACCCCAACCCAGGGCCCCATCACCTTACAATAGCCTGGTCTCCTCTTCCTCCATTTCCTCTACACCCCCCCCATCATCAGAGGGATTTTTTTTTTCAAATGTGAAGATTTCAGCATTTTCCTGAGCAAACTTTAAGTGACTTCTCATCTCACTGTGTGGCTCAAAGGCGGACCTGACCTGTACCCCTCCACCTGCCTCTTTCCTTCTCGTTTCCCATTTCCCAGCCCTCTGCTCCCTCTGCACCTGTGCACGTCCCCTTCTGATCCCTAAGGAGGGCCCTGAAACAGGTTTTCCCTTCCTCTCCCCAATACCAGAATCCTGCCTTAGTTTTCTTTTCAGACCTCATCACCACTGATACTGTATTTCCACTTGTTTATTTGTTTGCTTTCTACCTCCTCTATTAGAATGAAAACTCCATCAGGGCAGGCTTTGCCTCCTTCCTAGGGTCTGGCTTCTGGCTCTCTGAACGAATGAACGAGTGAACGAAGGAATGGACTGAATCCTTAGCAGTCACATGTAGTTAAGGAGTTTTCAGGAGCTCCCTATATTTTCTGTCGGGGGAACAAATCCTGGTTCACCCAGGATAGTCCTAATTACATCTGTTCTAAATCTGTTAACGCCTGTCAGTTATTTTTAGAATCCCCTTTTGTTCTTAAAATGTCTGGTTTGGACCATAAGTCATATGGTCACCCCAGTAATCTACTGCAGTCTTTCTGAAATATGCAACAAATTTACCTATGCAGGCAGCTGAGGAGTGAAATGAATGATACCATGGGCCTCCCTTTCTGCTATGTGAGTGATTATCCCTGACAAGGCGGTGAAGAAGTGGCTGTGTTTCTAAGTGTCTTTGTGGATCTCTGTCCCGCGGGGAAAGGTCAAGGGAATCTGACCTATGGTTACCAGACCTTTGTAATTTAGAGCAAACACTGCCCCTTCCTGGCAGAAACCCAAGGAGGCCACAGTGTTTGACTCTCCACTTCTCAGAGGTCGACCTGGCCCCTGAAGAGGTCAGTGGGCATTAGCGAGCACAGCATGGGCACACCTCAGTGGAATACCAACTCTACCAATGACTATGCTGAGCTTAGTACATGAGGCAACCTGCTGAGTCTCTGTTTCTTGATCTGAAACGTGAGGGTAGGTGGCAGCACACTGTAGAGTTACTGTGAAGAGAGAGAAGAGAGAGTGAGTAGCTCAGAGTTTGGCTGCTAAAAAGGGCCCCGTCTCCTCACTCCAGCCATGCTGTTCTCCTCCCAGGACTTCAGAAGAGCCTGATCCTGTTAGCTGGCTGCAGGGATTTCCATCAGTGGTCAGCCAGCCATTCTGTCAGTGGAGACAGTTGAGTGACCACACCGTTTCATAGTCCGGGAAAAAAGACTAAGTTACCAGCAAGGAGCTTAAAGTGATTTCTGGAAGTAAACCAGCATACTTGAAATGATGAGCAAACAATTCTAGATACCAGCCAATCCACAATTAAATCCTGGGGGGAGGGAGTGAAGTAGGAGAAAGTGGCTGTTTCTTCAGAGAAAAAAGAAGCAGGGGAGTTGCAGAGAAAAGTTTGCTGATGGAAACTTGTGGGTTGGATAGAAGGAACAAGAGTTAGAAGATGCTCAGGACCTAAACAGGGAGGGGCCATGGGCCCCTTAACGAACGACGTGGGGGCCAAAGTGTGGTGTGGGGCTGTGAGCTGGGACTGTAGGAGCCTCTGGGGGGCTGGGCCTGATGCCCTGGGGATGGCTGGATGGCAGAGAGAGCTTGGACTGGAGAAGGCAGCAGAACACTCCTCTATCCCCTTCCCGTGAGCCGCACACAGATTGAAAGCAATGTGAACCTGACTGGACCTGAAACAGCCAAAATGAAATGCAACTGTTGGTAAATCAGCGTAAGTTCATGCTGTCCTGTGGCGACAAGTAACTTCAGAGTGGTGGCAGATAGCTCCACTTGCCAAGTCGAGGCAGAGGAGAGCAGTGTTGGCTTTTGATCTGGAGCAATCTAAAGTACAAATAGAAAGGTGAGCCAGGACCTCAGGCCAAGTACCTTAAGGCCTCTGACTAAAATGGGAGAAACATCCAGGTATCTGTCTCCCTAGAAGCCCCCAACTCGTCTACCCAAAGAGGCTCTCATGCCTTGCACGACCCTGGACAACTCAACACACTAGATTGTAACTCTTGGCCTCCTGCTTGTTGCAGGGTGTGTTACACCAGGACCCAGTATCACTGGCTTCTATGCCCACAGCCTCCCGCACAGGGCCTGGCATGCAGTAGGTACTGAATAAATGTTTGTGGAATTCGTGATCAGAGCCACTGGCTGAGACCTGTCAAAACCTGCCAATTACAGGTTCTCCTGGGCCAGGTTCAAGTGACTCATGGAAGTGCTTTAATCACTTTCCAGACCAGCCTCCAAGCCCAGAACCATCACTCAGTTCTGCCTCTGAACTAAACATACAAGGTGACACAAAGATCCCACTGATAAGGGGGGCTGGAGGAAAAGAGGGTGGCCGAGAGCAAGGGGCATCTCCCTGGCTCCTGGCATTACCCCATCAGGCCCAGGCTGCCACCTCTGCTCCTCCCACCAGTTGCAGAGTCCTCACCTTCCCTTTCCAAACCTGCTCCCCTTTGATCCTGTGATTCTGATTCTCCTGGACTCACGACTGAGTTGAGCCCATCTCTCCAGTTCTGTCCCTGACCCCTAAGGCTAGCCAAGCTTCACTTTTATGTAGTTCATGCTTATTCATGTTTATTGAGGTAGATGCTCGTTCTCAGAGAGAAACAGCTGGAGGGAGCAAAATTGACAAGCATGGAGGTGAGGACAGAGGTTCCAGGGGTGCCTTACACTTCCACTCCAGGATCTCCATTTAGAACATCTCTCTCCCAGTCTAGATATTGCTAAAGTAATAGTGATTACTATGACTATTACCCTTTCCTGTTAAGAACTCCTCACACTTCTACCTGCCCGCCTACCTGTTTGCTCTACTGCCAGCCCCTCAGATGTCTCTCCCCCCTGGGGCAGCTGGCATAGAGATCATGGTCCTGGGCATTGGCACAAATGGACTTCACTCCCTGGGTAGTCTTGGCTGTAGACAACGATGATAGGTCTTTGGGCCTCAGTTTCCTCCTACAGAGAATAAAGATAACAATAATGCCACTGCCCATGGCTATTGTGAAGATTGAATAAGATATATAATGGTAAACACTAGGCAATATGCCAGAACAAAAGAAATGAGAAGTAATATTATTCTAAAGTCTAGGCATGAAAGTCTTTGAGAGGGATGATTAATGTCCACAAGCCGCTAGTATGCCCACCCACGCCAAACTCCTCAGGGCTAGACCGCTCTTCTAAAATCAACTCTTAGGATATTTATGTCGTGCCAATTGGTATTTGTGCCCCATGATTGTGAGAAACTCAAAGGCAGGGCTGGATCTTACTTATTCTTGTAGCCCAGAGACCAGCTTATCTAACATTAGTATTTGATGAAAGGCTGAGCAACAAATGAGTGGATGGATCAATGGATGAATGAGCAAAGTGCCCGGGACTTCCAGCCTGGTATCACTTCTACCCTCATGCTGTCTGTGCCCTCCCAAACTAGAACAGAATACCCCATGTGTTGACATGGAAAAGGGCCTCATAGCCCTCATGCCCCATAAACTTTATAAACCTATGGTAGGCGCTGAAGTTATTTATGGCTTTCTCCTCTGGAGGTTTAGAACCTGGAAGGAGGCAGCCACAGCTTCCAGAATGGCCACACTGCAGGACGGCTTTGTGAGACCTAAAAGGAGTGTTATGCAGCCCAGACGAGGAAGTGATGGATGTGAGCAAGGGTCAGGGAAGGCTTTACAGAGACATTTGGCTGCACCACAAAGCCTGCCTCGGGAGTCCGCGCTTTAGGACTGTTGTGGAGCATAGTGCCACACTCAGAAATTGGTTTGGGTAAGTAGGATAAGGTTGGAGTCACAAGGATACTGAAAAGAGGGGGTAGAGATATTTGGACTACAAACCAGTATGCCCAAAACTTTTCTGTGTGAGGAATTAGTATCGGAGGAGATAAAGTTAGTGCTCTGGGGATTTGGGGACATCTTCCAAAGCAGGACATCCTTAGAACTGCCTTAAAGTTTTATCCTAAAAATGCATGTGTATTTTGCATCTTCTAGTATTAGACTGTTTAACGTGAACATGATTTCCCTACCTCAACTCTCAGCAAAATCAGTGTCCTGAAAAGACACCCAGAATCACCCCTTATCTGTGCCCATGCCTTGGCATGCTGACAGTGCCCTCAGTTGGACTCAGTTGGAGTGTGTTGAGTGTGCAGAACCTTGAAGGTTCTGGAGTGAGCTCTGGAATGACGGAAGCAGGTGCTGTGGGGTGGGAATCTAAACTTGTCCTGGCTTCCTGGGCCCAGGGAACAGTCATGACCTCTGGAGGAGCTAAGATTCGTGTCATTGGCTCTCTGAGTTCCTATAAAAGTTCATACACCTCATGACAGAGACCACCTTCTTGACTACAAAGGTTTTAATTTTCCAGAAAAGTCTTTTGGAATACAGAAGGCTACTTAATACCTGAAAGAAGCTTGGAATGAAGTTGACACTAAACATTAAAGGCAGAAAAAAATAAAAGGGCCAGCCCTCCCCACTCCCCCAGTCTGCAGACCAGATGAAAAGATGCCCTGGCCAGGACAGGGAGCTTCTGAATGGAAAAGGAACATTCAGTGGGACAGAGCCTGAAAGGGAGCCTTGTGCCCT